TGGACTCATTTTTTGGCATATCGGCTAGGGATAGTGACAGACACTTAGCTATTCCCATCTTTTTCCACAAGGATTGCTTAGAAGCTGAGATTCTCCTGTACCATTCCTTCCATTCATCTAATTTAGATGGCCGAGACCCGAAGACTGTGGGCCAATGGGCTAGTTCTGGCTTTGTTTCTCTAAAAGGGATCCTATTGGTCTCAACGTTAATGAAGTAAGTTGGGTTTGAGTCACCCATTGGACCAAGGAAATAGTGTGTTGGGTCATGCAGAACAGGAATCACAATTTGCCCTCTAAGATGTTGAATCAAGAGATTTGAAAGGGCAAACCCTAAGTGACGGAATGAAGCAATTGGAAAACAAAGGATGATAAAGAATGAAGAATTTACCTCAGGAACATCGGAAGTGGTCGCCATTGCATTTTGCGCAGAACCGCTTGAGAACGGAGGGATTCACCGCCAAGAGCCATGTCGCCAGAGACAGAGGGGATCCTTGAAGTAGGAGCACTTGTGGAGGACTTAGCCGGAAAAGGAGATTTTGAAGCAGTGGGCACTACTTATAAGCTTAACAGTCAGAACAGAAAACCCTAAAATTTCGTGGGTTTGATGAGAGCAAATTCCACTGCATTATATAATACATCGGAATTGGGGGGCATGTGTTAACAACGGAATTTTGCATCAGACTTGGAGAAGAAAGAGAAAGATCGAGGTGGATTTGGTGTGGAATTGAGTTGAATTCAGAGTCGGACTGTGCATCGGCTGGCATCGTATCGGCTGGAAACAGGGCAGGGGCTTGACTTAGCCGATATGGCAAGTAGTCGATACAATATGACTTGGGCTCGGTTTGGGCCTAGATTGGAATAACCGTCATAGCCAATTAGAGATAAAGCTCAATTAAGGCAATTGTATCTATTAATTAGGATATTTAAGTTTGTTTGTTAGAGATTTGGCAGGAGACCGCCATGTAGTCTTGTTTGTATCTTATTTTTAGGAAAGTTTGAGTTGTGTCCATAAGAGCAGGTACAATAGCAGACTATTAGCTAGCTATAAATATATTTTAATGAGATAAAAGATGAGAGAGAAGAGCAGTGGGCTATAGATCTGTAGCCAGCTGCAGCACGGACTCCAAGACGCAATGTGTGTATAGCATGTGGGACCATATATTAATAGTATAGCAAGCAACTATTGTATGAATTGGCTATTACATTGGCTATAGATGAATTGAAGTTAGTAGTAGGCTATACTATTAAACTTGCTCTAATGGACTAAGTTTGTACTCGTGGGTATAAATATAAACCCCAAACCATTGTAATAATAGAGACAATCCAATACAACTTCAGCGCATCGTCACCCTTTTTGTTCTTCTTTTCGACGAGTTCTCTTGATAAGAGGTAATCCGTTTCGATGGCTTGTGCTATTGGGGCTATTATGTCGGTTTAGATGTTTTAGTCCTTTTATCATAACCATCTGCTATCATATGCTCAATTTAGCTCTATCGGCTGGTTCTTGTTTTAGGGTTCTTGCCGGTATCGGCTAAATTGTCTTACTAGATTAGATTAACTAAGGCATCTACCATCTTGAAAAATATTTAATTCCTTGATTGTTTATACTTTAGGTTTCTTTACCTACTTTAAGATGCATCACCCCTACTCTTGTCTAGAATCCTAAAAACTAACCTAGAATTAATTATAATTAGAGATAGTATTGGAGTTTAAACCAATCTTACCTAATATACATGCTTCTTCATTAGTTTTATGTATATTTGCCACTTATATAGACATATCACTCCATATAAATATATCAAATCTAGATCAGTATCGGCCGGGTTGCCAAGCTTGGTAGTTGATCGTTATTTGATATATTTCTATGGATTAATTTGTTTATATAAGTTTGTACTAGAGTATTAGCTAGTACATTATATTTATTTACCTATCTTACTCTAAATACCGTTCCATCAGCTATTTTCATGATATCGTCTAAAATCTATTTTATCAAACTAAGCAGATCATATTACAGCCGATGCGGCATATTTAGGGTTTTATATTCTTTGATCTACTCAGTCTATAGCCGATTTGGTCTAACTACATCGGCTGAGACCATCAACGATACGTCATCGGCCTATCGGCTAACTCGCTTTCTTTTTTGTTCCTTGCTGGTAGCAGGATCAAACCAGCTGGCACGCCCTTAGCGCACTCGAGGCAACCTTGGATCTGCACTGGAGTTAAGCAGATCTCCCAAGCTGCCGTGTTTTCCGTCAACAATTTCATATAGATGAATCGGTAATGGATGTACACCGTGGACCGATGGTCGAAGGAGTTTATTGATGGCATGCATTATTTTTTTAGTGTGGCCAATGCCCATAAGCCTAAGGGTTTTATATATTGCCCATGTAAAAAATGCAAAAACTAGAAGGAGCACTCTACATCGAGACCGCTTCGTGTCCACTTGTTGGAGTCAAGATTCATGCCTAGTTATAATTATTGGACCTCGCACGGAGAGTTAGGGGTTGCAATGAAAGAAGATGAAGAAGAAGACAACAATATTCCAGACTGGGCTCAATACGATGGATTTGCAGAAAATCCAACAGGCGAGGTGGATGGAGCTGTTGCAGAAAATGATGGTGCAGATGATCTCGATCATATGTTGTGTGATGTAAAGAAATACTGAAAGTGAAAAGGACGTCTAGAAATTGGAGCGTATCTTAGCAGACCACAAAACATCCTTGTACCCAAGTTACGAACATGGGCATAAAAGGTTGGGAACCACACTGAAATATCTTTTTGATGTTAATGTTCTTGTATATGTTTCTTAACATGGATTTTCCAATGGTTTGTATTAGTTTGTAAGTCTTTCGATTAGGACTTTATTGTAAAGTCTTTGGGATAATAAGTAGTTGGTTTGTATATGCTTTTCAAATATCTTGCATTGGTTTTATATTTCATAACATATGTTGTGATAACGTGCATTGCGCGTCCACGATTACTATTAATATCAAAAGCAGGACAAGCCGATTAAGGTTTTGTTAGGATCTTCATTTGGGATTTGGTTAACCGTGAGCATGCTTCCTAAACTATTAACCGATATATTTTACTAAAATCTTTAGTAAAATGTTTCCTAAAATAAATCTAACAAATTTATTTTTCAAATTTATAGTAATTAATACTTAATTAATCATTCGTTAATTGTCTACTCCGTTGTCTGCACCACTTACTAACCCAGTCAAACCATACTTATGAATGCAACCTAAGGGTGTGTTCTTTTGTGCAGGTTCCCAACTTCTTTCCAAGGATCAAACCCCCCTCCCCCACCCTCCCTAGGGCCCAAAACCCCCCTCCCACCTCGGTCAAAGCATCCTCCTGCTGGTCAAACCCGCCCACCACTTTGCTGTTCTCGTCTTGCAGGAATCATGCAGTAATAGGACGGTCATCGTGCAGTAACATGACAACTTTCTCACAGTAACAACGTCAAAAAACAGTCATGATGGATATAGTTTTGTTAAGCGTTTTTTTATGAACGTCATGGTGCAAACGGATTAGAAAAACAAGATATGATGTGAGAGATATTGCTCTCTAAAGATTGAGATTTATCTCTTTTTAGTCCTTGTCTCACTGGAACGTCGTAGTAACGCAACGGCCAATGTGTAGTAACACGACTGCTTTCTGCAGTAATGACGTTGAAAAGTAGTTATGATAGTTCTAGTTTCGTTAAGCATTTTTTTTTACGAACGCCATGATGCAAATAGGTTAGAAAAATAAGACATGACGTATACGTTACTACTCTCTAAAGATTTAGATTTAAAATATTTTAGCTTTACAAACTATAGTATAGTACCACTGTTACTATGCATATTCTTCGAGTAAAGTATACCGGCGGTCCATAAACTTGCAGGAGTGTGTCATCTAGGTCTTTAAACTCTCAAAATGCATATCCAAGTCCCAAAACATGTCATAGTGTGTCATTTAGGTCCCAATTCACCATAACCCCTTCAGGATCCTACTTGGCGTTGATGTGGTATGCCACATGGATATGACGTGGTATTATTTTGACTGACAAATGGAACCCATTTATTTTTTTTTCCTTTTTTTCTCTTTTTCCTCTTCATTCTCCTTTCTATGTGAACTGAGCAAAGAAAGGAAAAAAAAGAAGAATGAGAAGAAAACGGAAAAGAAAAAGAAAAATAAAAGAAGAAAAAAAGAAAAGGACACGTCACGTCCATGTGGTATGCCACATCAGCGCCACGCAGGATCCTAGAGGGGATGTGTCGATTTAGGACCTAGATGATACACTTTGACAAGTTCTGGGATCTGGATATGTATTTTGAGAGTTTAGGGACTTATATAACACAACCCTACAAGATTAAGATTAAGGACTGCCAATACACTTTACTCCATATTCTTCTGTTACTACAAAATTCGCCATGTTGTTAGTGCCAAACAACCTATAAATTTTGCAGTAACGTATCGTGTTATTATCCTTCTATTGTAATGTTACTGCCAAATCATAGTAAAAAGGTATGATTCTTGCAATAACATAACTAAATAATTTGTTATCATAAAATTTGGACATTCATACAAAGCAAGCAAACAATTATTTTTAATCACAGTGTCATAGGAAAAATTGGCTAGGAGAGATTGCTATGAAACATGGGATCATGGGTTCAAATCTTGTTTGTCATTTTAATTATTAGTTTTCTTTCCAAGGTGCAGCAAAGGGAGAGAAGAGAAAAAAAACAAAAAAGAAAAACGAAAAAAGAGGGATCGGGAGGGAGAGAATAGAAAAAAAAAAGAAAAAAGAAAAAAGAAAAGAAAAAAAGAAAAAAAAAGAGGGATCGGGAGAAGGGATCAGGAGGCGGCGGCGACGGGAAGAAAAATGAAAAAAGAGGGGGATCGGGAGGAGGGGAAGGGATCGGCGACGGGAAGAAAAACGAAAAAAAGAGGGATCGGGAGGAGGCGGCGATGGGATTGGGCGCAAGAAGGAGGAGGGAGGCGCGTCGCGCGGGATGGGAAAGGGAGGTGGGTTCGGTTGGGGGAGGGGGTGTAGAAGGAGGAGGAGGGAGGCGCGACGCGCGGGATGGGAAAGGGAGGTGGGTTCAGTTGGGGGAGAGGGTGTAGAATAGTTATATGGTCCGCTGCGTCGCCGACCGGTTCCCGGGCCTCACCGATGTCTTCCTCGACCACGGCCTCTACATCGCCGCCGGCGCCTCCGCCGCTGCCGCGGAGCGGAGCAGGGTGAGTCCTTCGCTGGCTGGAGTTCGTGAATCGCGCTAAATTTTTGCATCTCTTGTGTTCCCCTGTTGAATTGAATGAATGATCCGATGTTTTATTGGTTCATCGCCTAAATCCGTGGTTAAGGATTTTGTTTTCTGGTCTCCCTGATAAATTAGCATTTTGCCAGAGCTGCATATAATTTATAATTGAGATCTCTGGAAACTATTTTCTTGATGTGGTCTGTCTATAAATTTTGCAAGTCACTAATGCATTATTTTTGTCACAGGCACAAGATTGGGATAACGAAAGCCCCAAGTCAGATGAGCAACATATGCAGTGTTCCACACCAAGTGAAGATACGCAAGAAGAAAATGGCAGTGACGGTGTCAACCCAACCTCATTTACTGATGCTGGGCTACTTCATCTCATTGAGGGATATTTAAGTTTTAATGTCTTGAGGGTTGCAAAGGGCTTGAAAAGCTGACTCTAAACTGGTTTTTGCACATTTCTGAAAAGGGGCTAGGTGGGAATTGCAAATCATTGCCGGAATCTGCAATCGTTAGTGCTTTCGGTAATTTCTTGTTAGTTGTACTTGTTCTGTTTTCTTTCGTGCATTCAATATTGTTTCACATGTAGCATGATCTGCTTTCATTTCCAAGGCGGGAAAATCTTTCAAACTATGAAGAAATTAATGCTTCCTTATGGTGAATGGTGATCATAGATGCCTCTTTTATTTTAACTATTTTTTCGAATGAAACTTGAGGATCATATTGTAGCAATAGTGAGTTCCGTTGTGGTAATGGTCTCCTTTTTGAGGTTTATCATTGTTCAAGCCAGCAGTTCATGTTGTAAACTTTGCATTGAGGTTTCATTTCATGCTGATATTTAGTGTTGTATTCCCCCGAGTTTCATTGTTTATTGACAACATTTCTTACAAGGTGGTTATGTTCAAAACCATGGGTTGATTACTCTGGCAGAGGGTTGCAATCTTAGTGAATTAAAGCTGTGTGGTGTTCAAGAGTTGACGGACGAAGGACTGGTTGAATTTGTAAAGATACATAGTAAATTATTGGTCTCTCTTGATATTTCTTTCTGCAATGGTTGCATTACAGACAGATCCCTGTATGCTATTGGAACCTACTGCCATAACTTGGAAGTCCTATCCGTGGAGTCCAAGCATGTTAATGAAAACAAAGGAATAATCTCTGTTGCAAAGGATGCCAATATTTGGAATCCTTAAAGATGGTATGGCTTGGTGTCGGCGACGAAGCTTTAGAAGCTATTGGTTCATCTTGCTCTGCATTAGAAAATCTGTCACTTGACAACCTTAATAAGTGCTCAGACAGGTAATAGGTCCAATTATTAAATCTACTGTTGCATTTTTACAGGGATGGAAGTATCGGTGTCTCATTTCTCTTAGAAATTTGATATAGCTTATACTGATACTGCATTGTGATGCTTATAGACTTGAAGAGTAGAAATGCTGAACCATTTGTTAACAATTGTTTTATATTTTTTTTATATTGATTTGAACACATGCTCTTTTCTTAATTTCAGTAGTGAGCCACCTGAGTATAAGTTCTAAATAATATGGTTCTGGTAATTGACATCGATGGTGTATCTTAAATATTCTGCCACCGATAGTGACAAGTTATTGAATTTTAGCAACATTTCTCATATCTTCAGTAATCAACAGTACTTCCTCCATTTTTTTATGTGGAGTTGGTTAGTTTAAAATTGAACTGGTAGAAAAAAAATCTAATGCAGTAAGCACAATGATTGATGGAATAAATGAACAGATGTGCCAATTGCGGTCTCTGAATGAATGGTAATTTACCTCTGAATGAATATTTCATGTGTTGTTTCTGCTATTAGGTTGAACAACGGTTTCTTTTTTATGAGTATTATTTTTCAACGTAATCTGGTTATTGATCTACCAATGGTTCACATGTATGGTGTTGGCTTGGGGGTCCAGTCTCCTGCCTGTGATGTGTGCCAAGATAGACTACTGCAGAATACAGCTTATAAATACTGGACTGCCGACATAATTGGACAATCCGTTGCTTCCCTTAATGTAACTTCTGGAAGAAGCTGGACCTATAACTTATGGATGGCAAGAAGTGGCAGTGCTCGGAGGAGGCTGCCCTGGACTCCCAAGTACTGTGAGCACTACATGCCCGTTAGATCTGGGGTGATTGTTCATTTCTTTTTTTTTTTCTCAAATGCCATATTTCAGTAACCTGCTATATACTCTTTGATTATTTGAAAAAGTGCAATTGTCTAACTGATTGGTGTCATATGTATGCAGTAATGCCTTTTTACATTTTTGTGATTGGTTAATTATTGTGTTCCATTTGTTTGCATCAGTGGCAATCAAACCAGCACTCCATGTTGTGTACTCCTACATTGGTTTGATTCTGCAAAAATTTGATTTCTAAATCATCTATGTGATCCTAATCCATGTGAGGATTAGAACAAAATAATTGATTGCTCCTGAACTGATCTTCGGAAATACTGTAATATTAGGTGTTATGTTTGAAATGACCAAATTCGTACATGTTTTTTTTTTTTTTAAGATTTTGTGGGAGTAAGGGTATTACACTATCAGTAGAATTTTCCAAATTTGCTATGGGGCTTTCAATGAAAGTAGCGAACCACTCCCGTCTGATATGAGACTTCCTGATTAGGGCTAAATTTATTTATTATCATGCACGGAATAATAAATCTTCCTGATTAGGTTTAAACTTTTGTACAAAATCTATAAGTAACAGAATTGTTCTGATTCCAAACAGTCCTCTGGTTTAGAGCATGATCAGTGAGTTACAAAAACATTATAGAATACGTGAGTACTGACATTGTTTTAAGCTCAAGCACACTCCAGATATGGTTGAAAACTCTGATCAGTCATGTTTGAATTATATCTCCTCTTTATGCAGATAATTTCAATTGTTATGGTCCTGTTGGTGTACAGGTTCAGAGTTTTTGTTCCTGAGAATCATCTTCCATTGTATGAGCAGCCTATTCCAGGCAGCTCGATAAATTAAATTGTGTACTTCATGAACAATTAAAATAACTTTATTATTATTATTTTTAACAATTCATATCATCCATATATAATAATAAATTTGACAATATTTGTTACTATAAATTCTATCTCATTATATGCTTGGCAAAACATATCTTATTTTGGTTATTTGATTTGTATTACTAAATATTTCCGTAGCGTTAGCACGGGTAGATTACTAGTTATAGTAGTTTAACTTATATAAATTACGCTACAAATTTACATATCTAAATTTAAGATCTTACCAATTAGTTGATCGCAAATGTCTAGATGTGCATGACAAGTGAATCGGAAACACATGCGATCATGTCTTCGTCAGTTTGTCCAACTATCATAACAACTGAATTAACCTAGCATAGGACCATACATCAATACACGACAAAAACTAACACATCAGATATATTACAAATTAACAGATAAATTCACAATGTTACAAAATTTGTGCTCATTTGGTGATGGCGAATTAGCAATGATGTGCCATGTATTGGTGTTGCACTCAACAGAATACCTGATCAGACAGACATCAGTATTCAGTGACCGCGCGTCCTCCTCATCCAGTACTCGAGGGCAGCTGGCGCGGCCAGCAAGAAGCAGCGGAAACCAGCCGCGGAGGCGCGCAGCGCAGAATTGCGTCGGCGGCTCGGCGCCGGCGCGACACGCGCCGATGCGGGCTGCCATGGATTCACGCGATTTCGCCGTGAGAAGAAGAGGACGTGGGCGGCAGGCGGCGGCAATCTCGCGTTTGTTCTGTTCGCCTTTCACGCATCGGCCGATCGGCGTATGTGTTCTGCTCACCTTCCGTGCATGCGTTCTGTGACGACTATTGCTACTTCCTCCGTTTCACAATGTAAGTCATTCTAACATTTCCCACATTCATATTGATGTTAATGAATCTAGACATATATATTTATCTAGATTCATTAATATCAATATAAATGTGAGAAATGCTAGAATGACTTACATTATGAAACGAAGGAAGTATTATTTTTCATTGCCCGCTCGGCGTATCAACCATTTCACCATCAAGATATTTTGAAAGTGAATATAGAATATGATTCCTATGAATTATATTTCAAGAACATAGCCTACGGATGTGTCATGTGTCGCAACCGTAAGCTATCTTTCTAATCTGCTAAACGGTTTGTGTATTTTTTTATTAAAAAACTGTGGAGTATTAAAGTTTCTTAGAAGAATCAAATAAATTCAATTTTTAAGTGTGTCAAAGCTCATACTTAATTAATCACACCTTACCCACTCGTCTCGTTTTATGTGTAGGTCGCTTTATTCCGTGTACAGGTGTTACACTTGCACAAGACGAAAATTTAGCAGAGGCTGCAAAAAGTTTTTTTAGATAAAAGTCACGAGAGCAGATACAATAGTAGGCTATAAGACAGCTATAAATATATTTTAAAGAGATAAAAGAAGAGAGAGAAAAGCAGCGGGCTACAGAACTGTAGCCAGCTGTAGCACGGACTCCAAAATGTAATGTGTATGATAGGTGGGACCAGATATTAATAGTATAGTAAGTAACTATTGTATAAATTGGCTATTACATTGGTTATAGATGATTAGAAACTAGTAGTGGGTTGTATTATTAAACTTGCACTGTGTTTACACCCAAATTTGGCACCTAGGATTAAAATAGGAAAGATTGCCAAAATTTGAAAGTCTACCGGTTTCCTCCAAGTGGGCCGGTCTGACCGCCGTGTGTTGGGCGGTCAGACCGTCGGTTGAGGGCCGGTCAGACCGGCGGTGTGTGGCCGGTCTAACCGGCAGGTCCGAGTCCGACTGCGTTTCGTCGGGTTTCGAGGTTTCTTTGCTCGGGAAGGCATGTTTCGGGTTTCCTTTAGTTTCTACCCCGAGTTGGACATGGAGGAGGGCCTGTAGAAGGCAAGACCAACCCCTATATAAGGGACATGGCCGATTCATTGTAAAAAAACCAATCTACAATCAATCAATCGAATCTTTTTTCATATTGCTTTTAGTTTTCTCTTAGTTTGTCCATCTTTGTCGGTTTGCGCCGTAAACCGTCCACCGCTGCTGCGAGAGTGCGACATTTCTTTGTAGGTTTGTCCTGAAAACCTTCCGTTTTGCCCACGAGACGGGTAGTTATCTTAAATCGGCTCCGCTAGCCGGTTTATTTGTCAAAACCCATCTAGGTTTAGCTCTTTGCTAGATCGAGGTGGTTGGCAACTCTAGGATCACCGCAAGGCATAAGGTGCTGCAATCGTTGTTGTCAACTTGTCACAAAAAGTTGCCAACACGATTTTGGCGACTCCGCTGGGGAGGTCCGTTCAGCGTCAACTCAACTTCGACTTCGCCATGACGAAGCCGCCATCCAAGACGGAGGTGGAGCCATCTAATGTGATACCTATCACATTGGATGATTTCGAAGGGGAAGACCGCAAGTCCATGGAGGAGTACATCAAGGAGATCACACAGGAGGCGCTGATGAGAGCATGCACTAGGACTCGTCAAGGCGTGATCATCAAGCCCAGGCCACGTCCTAAGCTCGCTTCTGATTTGGTAAGCAATGAAGAGGTAACACAATCTATCCAACAGCAAGTAGCATCTACAATAGATTCATCTATGACTGTTTTTAAAGATAAGTTGGATGCAACTTTTGAGGGTAAATTTGATGAGTTTTTAAGATTTAAATTCGGCCCTCTTATGGCCGATTACATGTCAAAAGATAAAGCCTCTACCACTGCTAACCAAGCTCCTATAGATCAAGGGTTTGTTGGAACCATGCCACCCTAATTTTGCAAAATTTAAGATATGCCACCCGTATCTCAATGACATGTACGACCCACATGAGTCAATGACATGTGGGTCAGGGTGGCATATCACAAATTTTGCAAAATTTGTGTGGCATGGTTCAAATTTTCCCATAGATTAGATGGGTTCGAGTAGCGGGACCAATGGAGCGGCGCATGCGGCCGGTCCGACCGGGCCTGATGGCTGGTCAGACCGCGACTTCGCCTTCGGTCCAACCGGCCAAGCGGCCGGTCCGACCGGGTATTATCCCGGCGGTCAGACCGGGACTCAGGCCGGTCTGACCGCGCCTCTGGATGTCGGTCAGACCGGGCCCTGGACCGGTCAGACCGGCGCAATTATACCGATACAGGGGATAGATCCAATGACTAATGCTAGTTATTTGTATCATCTTAGAACATTTGATGCTCCTGTATCTACTGCTGCAAATAGTCCCCAAGTTCCCCCACATGTTCCTAATGCTTATAATGATGTTGCTAGGGGGTATCCTCCCGATACTAGGCAAGGCCAATATAATCATATTGCGCCACAAACACAACCTATTAGGCCACCAAATCCACTGCCAAATCAACATAGGCCTGATAATATGAAGGAAATAATTAGTGAGATTATTAGGGATAAATTCGGGATTGAAACTAGGAATCGTGCCAGGGTTTACAAAAAGCTGTATCCTGACTATTATGATAATGTGCCGTTTCCCCGTAATTATAGAGTTCCCGAATTTACCAAGTTTAGTGGTGAAGATGGTAGTACCACATGGGAGCATGTAGGTCAATTTTTAGCGCAATGTGGTGAGGCTAATAGTGATACTTTTAAATTACGCTTGTTTTCTTTATCTTTATCCGGTACCGCTTTTACATGGTTTACTTTTTTACCGGCAAATTCTATTCATACTTGGGCTCAATTAGAGGTGAGATTTCATGATTATTTTTATACTGGAGAAACTAAGCTTAGGTTATGTGATTTAACATCGGTTAAGCAAAAATATAATGAGCCTGTCATTGATTATATTAAGAGATTTAGGGATGTTAGAAACCGATGTTATAGCTTGAATATAACTGATAGAGATTTGGCTGGTCTTGCTTTTAATGATTTAATTGCTCCACTTAGAGAAAGACTAGATGGCCAGCAATTTCTTGATGTTAGTCAACTTATGCAAAGGGCTCTGGCTAAAGAAAGCCGGGTTAAGGATAATAAAAAAATTGTTAGACCATATGAGAAAAAGCCTAATGTTAATGTGGTTAATTACCCTGAGGCTAGTGATAGTGAAGATGAGGGTGATCATGATATGTATGTTGCTGAATGGTCATGGACTAACAAAAACAAGCCTTTTGTTTGTTCTAATCTAATGCCGTCTCCTCATAAAGATCGGCAAAGTGAGGTTAAATATAGTTTTGATGTGGCCAAGTGTGATAAAATCTTTGATTATCTTTTACAAGAAAAACAAATTAGATTACCTAAAGGCCATGTCATACCATCTCA